GGATTTTTTAATCAAAGCCGCCGGAGAATCGGTCGGGATCCTCCGGCGCTTGAAAAATTCATCGCTCCCCCTCTAATTAAGATGAAGGGATAAAACAGACCGTCATCAGNGGGGGTGGAGAAATGGATTTTTTAATCAAAGCCGCCGGAGAATCGGTCGGATCCTCTGGCGCTTGAAAAATTCATCACTCTTTCTNGCGCAGAGTGGGGGGGAACGCGTATGGGGGAATCGGAGGGCGGAGCGAGCGGTGATGTTCGCTGTCGAGTAGGTGAGGGGAACCTACCGCAGTTGGTTGAGGATCCAATTCTTAATCGATTGTCAACAGTTTCATCCCTTAATATCTGCTGGGGGAGGAGAAATGGATTTTTCAATGGAAGCAGCCGTTTAGGGACTCACTCCATGCTTCAAATATTCATCTCTCCTCCCCTAATTGAGATGAAGGGATGAAACGACCGCAATCGGTTGAGGATCCAATTCTCAATCAATTGGTACCAGTTTCATCCCTTAATTCCCGCTGGGGGTGGAGAAGTAGATTTTTTAATCAAAGCCGCCGGAGAATCGGTCGGGATCCTCTGGCGTTTGAAAAATTCATCACTCCTCCCCTAATTGAGATGAAGGGATGAAACGACCGCAATCGGTTGAGGATCCAATTCTCAATCAATTGGTACCAGTTTCATCCCTTAATCTCTGCTGGGGGAGGAGAAATGGATTTTTCAATGGGAGCAGCCGTTTAGGGACTCACTCCATGCTTCAAATATTCATCTCTCGTCCCCTAATTGAGATGAAGGGATGAAACGACCGCAGTCGATTGAGGATTCAGTCCTCAATCGATTGGTACCAGTTTCATCCCTTAGTCTCCGCTGGGGGTGGAGAAATGGATTTTTTAATCCAAGCCGCCGGAATTCATCACTCCTCCCCTAATTGAGATGAAGGGATGAAACGACCGCAATCGGTTGAGGATCCAATTCTCAATCGATTGTCACCAGTTTCATCCCTTAATCTC